GAGGCCCCCAAAAGAGCTCCGAGAGGGCTCCAAGCCGACCCCCAGTGGGCCCCAGGTCAAGGCGCACGGTGCATCATGCAACCGCAATGGCATGGCGGGGGACGTTGTTGTTGAGCACGACGCCGCGCCGTGGGGCAAACGGCAATGCATGCCACATCGAGGAAAACCATACCCTCTTGCCTCAAGGGAGCACGCGGAAACAATACGACGTAAAAGTGTGCATGCAAATGTCGTTTGCAGGAGCCCCCTTGGGACTCTCTCGGGGTTCTCTCGGGGCATCCTCGGGGCTTCAGGACAGCCCCAGCGCGGCCCAAGACGGCTCCAAGAGGGCGCCGGCGTGGCCCACGCAACGGCCCAAACTCATGTTGCACCATGCATCCTGATGCGGGCCCCAAACATACATGGATTTGGACCCCTTTCTGATGGGTGCCCTCTGGGGCGTTCTTTGGGGCCCTCAATGGGTTCGAGGGGGCTGCGGGTGGGCCTTGGGGAGACCCCCAGGGGGGCTCCAGGAGGACCCCGGATGGATCCCCAGATGGCCCAGAGCCAAAAAGCATTTTGAATATTGGATTTGGGCCCTCTTGGGGGGTAACTAGATTTCATTAAAGCCGTATTAGCGAGTTCTCGGCGACACGGGCTCCCTCCGGCTTCGGGCGGGTTTCAGGAAGTCCCGGAGAATGCCCCCACGGGGCATCAAGTGGACCCCGAGACATTCTTGAATCAGGATGCAGCGCGCGTCCTAACTTTGGATTTTCTCGGGGTCCAGGCGGGGCTCTCCCGAGGTCCTCTTGTGGGCCTCACGGGGCCCACTTGGGGCTCCCTTGAGCCCTCAGGCAGGCTTCCAGAAATTGTTGGCGCTCCGCGTATCCCCACCAGCCCGCCCAAAAAATCACCAGGCGACTTGCCCTGATCATCAGGAGGAGCGATGAGGGTGAAGGGATGAGCCAGGAGGGAGGGGTGATATACAATAGCAGTTAAATACGAGAGTGGTCATGGACAGCAGTGTTCATGTACGCAAGTGGTCGTGCACAAGAGGCCCTCTTGGGTATCTCTTGGGCCCCCTTGGGGCTCTCGCGGGGCTCGCTGAGGGCCGTCTTGAGGCCCTCTAGGGGCCCTCTTGGAGCATTGCCCGGGCCCTCCAGGGCCTTCCAGTGCGGTCCGGAGGGCTTCGAGCGGGCTCAAGACGGTTCCAAGAGAGCTTCAAAATTTGTCAATATATTTGAAATTTTGAGGCCCTCCTGAGGCTCTCTTGGAGCCCTCTTGAGGCCCTCCGAGATTGCATTGGAAGGCCTGGAGGGCCCCGAGAGGGCCCCCCCGAGGGCCCCCGACCAGGAAACCTCCGGGGGGGGGGGGTCGTCACGGTAGCCTCCGGTTTGGGCGCCCCCTCGTCACGGAAGCCTCCGGTTTAGGTTGCGCCCGGGGCCCCCCCGAGCTCGTCACGGAAGCCTCCGGTTTAGGCGCAAGTCGGGAAACAAGACAGACGGGCGGGGGCCCCGGGGGGGGGGTCGTCGCGGAAGCCTCCGGTTTGGGGCGCGCCCAATTGATACCCTACCGCGACGAGCTCCGGGTCCACACTTTCGACATTTTCATTCGGGGATCCGCCCCGGGCGAGCCCCAAAAGACAGTCGCGCGGCCCCCGCGAGCCGCGCGAGTGCAGTTTGGGCCTCGCTGGGGGGCGGAGGGCAAGGTTTTGTCGCAGGTGCCGCGGGGGTCCAGGCCGGCTGGTCTTTCCCGATCTTCTTCCCGTTACTCCGCCGCCATCCTCTCCTCCTTCCTTACTCCTTCGTGTCTCTCCCTCCCTCGCCGTCCCCTCGCCACTCTTCCCTTGCTCTTCATTTTGGCCTCTCGCCATCTCCCTCTTTCCATTCTGTCCACTTCTCCGCTGTCCTCACAACATCCCCACCTTCTCTGTCTCTCCTCCTTGCCCTCTTTTCCTCCCCCCGCTTTCCTCGCTTTTCCTCGCCCCCTCCCTCCCTAGTGCCCCTTCCCTCCCATCCCTCCCCCCTCGCATTAGCTCCCCTCGCCCGCATCGCCCTTGCCCTCGTTTCTTCCTCTCCTCCCCTGCCTCCGACATTCCTTCCCTCCCCCGCTCCCCCCGTATCTCTCCTACCTCCTCTGGCTCCTCTCCCACGCCCCCCTCCCTGTGTGCGTCTTTCGCCCTGTCTCCCTTCCCCCCCTTCTCTCCCCTCCCCCCTCCCCCCTCCCTCCCCCCTCCCTCCCTTAGTTCCCTCGCCTGGCGACGCGCTGCACAACGCGCTCCCGCGAGGGCGAGCTGGGCCAGGGGTCGAGGAGGAGGGGGGCGGAGGAGGGGGAAGTTGAGAGAGGGTGGGGAGGGGGAAGACGAACGGGGGCGGCAGGGGAGGGAAGGATATATAAAATATGTGAACGGGATATCAGGCGGAAATGGAGGGATGGGGGTTGCGCGTGCGGTTTGTGCGGCATGTGCTGGCATGTTGCACCCAGGCATACTATTGGTTCCCAGTATTTGCAACTCATTGCCTCGATATGTGCAACGTACTGTGTTGCGTCTGTGGGGATGCGTGGCCAATGCCTTGAAACGCCCGCAGTCTTTCATGGGGCGCGCGAGCCTGGTCGCGCAGCACGTGCGTACTCATGCGCCTGGCTCGGCACCGGAGCCATACTTGCCAACGCAGACATGGGCGCTCTGTGATAGAGCCAAGTGTGGATCCTGTGATATGTCTGTTTGTGCACTTTCGAGGCTACTGATATGTAGCGGGCACGCGTTGTCAAAACCCCTCCACAGGAGGACCGTCTCTTTGGGCCATGATTGGCTCGATTCGCCATCCCTGCAGGCGTATGCGTACGTCAGGGTGGGTGACGTTCCACTTGCTCGTCCATATACAAAAGGCGTGGTGTTCCTTTGTCAAATTCCCGAAGTAGCGAAACGATTTATTTGTAATTCTGGTTTCGTGAGTGTGCCGATCACTTTTGAGAAATCGTTCAATGTTTGCCAGGTATGTTGTAAGACTGTTCAATGCCTGGCGGTCGTACTTCACCGCGCGCAAAGCATGCGACTGCTTCGTTGGTATATGTTCGTTTTGGGTGTGGTTGCGTTTTTTCCTAGCCGCCCAGGTTCAGTGCGCGTTTCGGCTCACCGACATCACGTGCGCACCTTGGAGCTCTGATTCGCATTAAGATAGAGTTGCGCCACGCAGCGCAGGGCCGAGGCATGATATTTTGAATGATAAGCGCCCGCGCCAGCGCAGACGCGTCGCTCTGGCCGGCCACTGTTGGTCGCGCCATTCGAAGGCCGCGCGTGGATGTCATGCGCCGTTGACGTTCCCCGATGACTGTCCTTGGGTCGTGCTCCTTATCTTGCGTCGTTCTTTCTGCCGGCCCGTCGTCGCGACTTCTGCCCGCGCTGGCGCTTTCGTTTATGTTCGTCCCCGAAGCGCTTGACTGGTGCAGTGGTTTCCAAAACGTCTCGATTTAGTTGTCTCTCCGCATGCCCCTGGGGCCGCGACCCGGTCTTGCGAGAGCGACGCTCTCAGGAAGGATCTCATTCGCTCCCTGTGTTTGCGCATTTCCGCCTTCTGTGAAAAAAAAGGCATGGTTTGGTAGGGGTCGGTTTGGCCGCGCCCGAAAGACACACTGGACAGATGGGCGCGGGTCACGTTGAAGACCCTCGGGCTGGCTTTCAGACGTATGTGCGGGGCTACGCTGGGCCACAGCGATCAAGGGCAGGGGCGCGATGATCCAACGAGGGGGGCGCCACGGCGCCCCCTCGCGCGCCCGCCAGGGGTGGGGCAGCGCCATCACGGAGAGGCGACGCAGGCGGGAACCGCGCGGGGTTGGGCGGAGAGACGCCGCAGACCTCGGGGCCAGGCGGTCGGGGATCGAGCGCCCCCCCAAACCCAGAGAAAATTACGCTACCGAGGAACCCCACACAGTTATTTTATGCCACGTGTGTTCACAAACCATGCCACATTTTGCTTCGCCATCCTGACGAGAGATTGTCCAGACCAGCCAAATCAGCCAGACCAGCCAGACTGACCAGACCAGCCAAATCATTGTTCCAACCATAACCAGCCAAAAAAATCAGACCAGCCAACCAGGCAAATCAAGCAGACCAGCCAGACCAACCATATTAGTCATGCCGACAACCGCAGCCAGAATCAGCCGGACTAACCACACGAGCCAACTAAGCACACCAACTAGACCAGACTAACAAGAACAGACCAACCAGACCACGCCAACCAGACCAACCAGACAAACAAGCGTCGTCGTACCCCCTGTGGCCCACCAGACCCACCCCCAGCGCACCCCCTGTGGCGTCGAGGAAATGCCACGCCTGCCACGCCCTGGGAGCTTGCAGCGCATAGGGCCCTCACCCCCCGCGCGCCCCCTGTGGCGTCGAGGAAATGCCACGCCTGCCACGCCCCGCGAGCCTGTAGCGCATAGGGCCCCCGCCCCCAGCGCACGCCCTGTGGCGTCGAGGAAATGCCACGCCTGCCACGCCCTGGGAGCCTGCAGCGCATAGGGCCCCCACCCCCAGCGCACCCCTGGGGAGGGTGGGGGCCCTATGCGTTGCACGAAGCGCATAGGGCCCCCACCCCCAGCGCACCCCCTGTGGCGTCGAGGAATTGCCACGCCTGCCGAGCTCAGGTACCACCCCCCTGCACACCCGCTCTGGTGCGAGAGGGAGAAGGGGAGGGGGGAGGTGTGAGACGCGGGTGCGGCGCGGCAGGGAAAAAACCATAACCCCACGAAACATGTGGGGAAAAACACCTCGGCCGTCGGTCGCGGGGACAAGGTCCGGCAACGGCGGGGAGGCAGCAGCGTCTGCGAGCGTCGGCGGGGCCCCGCGCGCTCTGGGCATGCCGCTGCGGGTGCTCATCGTCGCCTTCGTCATCGGTGTTGTCCTCGTCCCCCTCCCCCATCTCGCGGTCCATTTCGATCCGGCGGATCCGGTTCGATATCGAATCCGGCCGCTTCGATCATTTCGGCTCTGATGATGCTTTCTATAGTCTGATTCGGCCCGATGAGATTACATGCTTCCATGGAGCTGTTGTGCATCGTGGCGCGGCCGATCCAAGTCGATTCCCACTCGGCGCCGATGCGGCCAGATTCGATGATAATTGTTCTGGCCATTTTGAGAGTTGGCACCGATGTCAGGACATCGGACGTCTGATTGGCAACTCTCGCCTGCGAGGGCGTCGCAGTCGCAGGCGGGCGCCGCAGCACCAGGCATCCGAGGGGCGGAAGACAAATCAACGGGTTTCTGGAGGTCCCTGGACGTCCGCCGAGGCCGCTCCGCTTCTGGAGGTCCCAGGCGCGTGTCGAGCTTGCTGCCACCAGCAGCGGGCCGCCCGAGTCCGCTGCGGGGTGACCACGTCGTGGCCCCAGGAGCGGACGTGCGCCAAGGTGGCGTCACCCAGGCGGCCCCCCGCCTCGTCGTCGCCCTCCCTCGTCGTCACAAGGTCTCGACGGACGGTCTTCGGCAACCTTCGGCTTCTGAGGGGCCTGCAGCGGCTCGGGGTGAAGGGCCAGCCCCACTCAGGGTCAGCGCCAACCGGGGTCAGCCAAGTCCATGTCGCGAACCGTGGTCAGCCGCTCGGCAATGAGTTCCCAGACCCAGGTCAGTGGAGGGCGGGGAGGCGGGGTCAGTCCACGGTGTGATTTTTGCCCATGCGCGTCCCCGGAGGCCGCGGCCCTCTCCCCGGGGTGGCAGTTGTTCGTCTTGGACCTCTCTTGGATAGTCCCGGGGCCCGACCACGGGCCCCACGAGACAGAGTCCGAGGAAATTCGTCCGAATGGCATGCGGCAGATCGTCGGATGCCCGGGCTCGTGCGCGCCGCGAAGAACAGAAATCATCGACGTCGGAGGCCCTGCGCCCTTCTCGAGTGGCGCGTGGGGCAGGGCGGTTCTCCCTCCGTGGCAGGCGCCGCTCCCGGCCGATCCCGGCCTCCACAGAGTTTTCGACGTTGCGGCGGTAATCGAACGCTCTCGCTCAGGTTCACTCGGCTGCAGACATGCCTGAAATTCTTTCACCCCAGCCTGTTTTTCAGGAGTCTGACCTGCAAGGATAGGGTTCAGAGGTGGTTGCAGCCTCCGCCCATAGTGGGCAGACTCCCTCGTGCTCGAGGTTTCGACGTTTCCGATGATTCCGTGCGTGCGTGACTCGAGGTTTTCAGAGTTTCTGGTACGTTCCCAGAGGTCTTCTAGCAGCTGCGCCCGCGCCCCTGAGGGCCCTTATCGTCCCGAACGGCCGCTGGAGACCCGAGTTCTGGTCCGAAAAGTAGACCTCCTCGCGTCGTGCAGTAAAATCACGACGGGATGTTCTTTGTCGTCTTCGGCCTTGTTGGGCTCTTGCTGGCCCCATGGCGCTCCAGAAAACGACTAGGGATGAAATGCCGGTCTCGGGGAAGAGGTAAAGATCTCCAGAGGTCAACGTTATCGAAAGAAGTGATGACGTCGTGGGATTTGGGGGGGGGTCCTGCGGGGAACGCTTCTCAGGAGCGTTCTTAGAAGCCTCCAGGTCCATGCCCTTTTGAAAACGCCCCTTCCGTTTGGGGAGCCCAATATGCGCTTTCTCACAAGGCCGCCCACCTCGCGCCACCCCTTGCGTGCGTCGCCAACTACCCTCATCTCTCCCGCCCTCGCGCCCTCTCTCTCGCCGAAGGGCGTGATCGCTCCAGTTGGGGCCCGGGCGTGCCGCCAGAATGTGGCCATGGCCGGCGGGCGGGGGCAGAGAGCGCGCAGAGCCGCATCGGTTGGGAATCATGGGTGGGTCTGGGCTGGCGCTTCTGCCATCTGCCTCCGCACCCACTCGAAGGCTCCGCCCCCGCACCCATCTGCCTCCGCACCCATCTGCCTTCGGGGAGCTCTGAGCCTGCTTTGTTTGCAACGCTGAGGCTTGCACAACGTCAAGTCATGAGACCCCCGCCTGCTCGTTGGACACAGATGCAAGCCCTCTTCATGCACTCTGGTGTTGCACCCTCTCGACTGAGAGAAATACCGATGCCGCTGCTCGTCCTGGAGAGCCCTCGTCGCCACCGCCTGGTTCTCCCCGATGTTCTGGTCAGGTCGCACCGTGGGAAGGATCCAGGAAGAAGCAGTACAGTCGGCCCAGATTAGTAGGTTGACCTTGCTAAATCAAGGGTACCCTTGTGTCCTGTGTCTCGCGACCCATGCTTCCTACATTCTTGTGCCAACGTGGCCCTCGGAAGGGTCTAGTGTCCTCTCGCGTGTCCTGTCCAATCAAGTCCGACTGTACCGTTATCGTTTTGCCCCCCAGTCCAAAATGGTAGTGTGAGGGGGGTGGCCTTCCAAGAAGGTGGTGAGTTTCTCAGAAGGCAGGGGGTTTCTTGGAAACGCCTGGAGGTTTCCGTGGAAGGCTTCCTCGAAAACCAGGAGGGCTTCCTGAGAAGCCGCCCGTCTTCTCAGAAGGCTCCCCCCGCCTTCTTAGAAGGCCGCCCTCCTCGCGCAACCCCCGTGTGCGAGCCCCTGGTGCGTCCTGTGCCTCCGCCTCCACCTTCCCTGTCCTCGTGCTGGGCCGCCCTTTGGCGACTACTCCTCGCCCCCGCTTGTCCTGCCTGGTCTTCCTCTTCCGAGCTGCGCTGCCTCCTCCTCCTTATTCTCCTCCTCTTATTGCTGCAGCACTCGCTCAAAGGAAGGATACCGTTTCTTTATTGCTTGGGGCATGACGGGCGTCATGGCCCCCGCTCCCCTCCCCTTATGACGAGTCCGCCGTGCGCATTGGGATCCGCGTAGGTGTCCGCGTAGGAATCCGCATCGGAGTCTGGTCCGCAGTCGTCGTCGTCGTCGTCGTCGTCGTCGTCGTCGTCGTCGTCGTCGTCGTCGTCGCCCGTGGCTTGTCGCTCGTCGCTCATAGTCGTCGTGCGCGCGGACGCGGCTGAAACCTTTTTTCCCAACCATCCTGTGGTGTTGGGTCCTCGTTTTGAAGAGACGGTCCCCGCGTTCCTTCTCCTCCTTCTCCTCCTCCTCGCCCTCCTCCCTCCAGGGCTCGCATGCTTCCCCACCACCCATTTCGGCACACCCCTCACACGCTTCGTGGCCCCATAGGGAGCTCCACCGAAGGCCCCAGTGGCTGCGTTCGCATGCCTCCCCACCACCCATTTCGGCACACCCATAGGGAGCTCCACCGAAGGCCCCAGTGGCTGCTTCGCATGCCTCCCCACCACCATTTCGGCACACCCCTCACACGTTTCGTGGCCCCATAGGGAGCTCCACCGAAGGCCCCAGTGGCTGCGTTCGCATGCCTCCCCACCACCCATTTCGGCACACCCCTCACACGTTTCGTGGCCCCATAGGGAGCTCCACCGAAGGCCCCAGTGGCTGCGTTCGCATGCCTCCCCACCACCCATTTCGGCACACCCCTCACACGTTTCGTGGCCCCATAGGGAGCTCCACCGAAGGCCCCAGTGGCTGCCGTCCGCATGCGTCCCGCACACCCATTTCGGCACACCCCTCACACGTTTCGTGGCCCCATAGGGAGCTCCACCGAAGGCCCCAGTGGCTGCCGTCCGCATGCTCCCCACCACCCATTTCGGCACACCCCTCACACGTTTCGTGGCCCCATAGGGAGCTCCACCGAAGGCCCCAGTACGCATGCCTCCCCACCGCCCATTTCGGCAGACCCCTCACACGCTTCGTGGCCCCATAGGGAGCTCCACCGAAGGCCCCAGTGGCAGGCGTTCGCATGCCTCCCCACCACCCATTTCGGCACACCCCTCACACGTTTCGTGGCCCCATAGGGAGCTCCACCGAAGGCCCCAGTGGCAGGGTCCGCATGCCTCCCCACCACCAATTTCGGCACACCCCTCACACGTTTCGTGGCCCCATAGGGAGCTCCACCGAAGGCCCCAGTGGCACGCATGCCTCCCCACCACCCAGGCCCCACGGCGCGCCTCCACCACCCATTTCGGCACACCCCTCACACGTTCGTGGCCCCATAGGGAGCTCCACCGAAGGCCCCAGTGGCTGGTCGCAGCATTTCACACCGTGGCCCCAAGGGAGCTCCCCGAAGGCCCCAGTGGCTGCGTTCGCATGCCTCCCCACCACCCATTTCGGCACCCCTCACACGTTTCGTGGCCCCATAGGGAGCTCCACCGAAGGCCCCAGTGGCCGCATGCCTCCCCACCACCCATTTCGGCACACCCCTCACACGCTTCGTGGCCCCATAGGGAGCTCCACCGAAGGCCCCAGTGGCTGCGTTCGCATGCCTCCCCACCACCCATTTCGGCACACCCCTCACACGTTTCGTGGCCCCATAGGGAGCTCCACCGAAGGCCCCAGTGGCTGCGTTCGCATGCCTCCCCACCACCCATTTCGGCACACCCCTCACACGTTTCGTGGCCCCATAGGGAGCTCCACCGAAGGCCCCAGTGGCTGCGTTCGCATGCCTCCCCACCACCCATGTCGGCACACCCCTCACACGTTTCGTGGCCCCATAGGGAGCTCCACCGAAGGCCCCAGTGGCTGCGTTCGCATGCCTCCCCACCACCCATTTCGGCACACCCCTCACACGTTTCGTGGCCCCATAGGGAGCTCCACCGAAGGCCCCAGTGGCTGCGTTCGCATGCCTCCCCACCACCAATTTCGGCACACCCCTCACACGTTTCGTGGCCCCACAGGGAGCTCCACCGAAGGCCCCAATGGCTGCGTTCGCATGCCGCCCCCACACCAACTTCGGCACACCCGTCAAACGGTTCGTGGCCCCATAAAGAGCTCCACCGAAGGCCCCAGTGGCAACGTTCGCATGCCGCCCCCACACCCATTTCGGCACACCCGTCAAACGGTTCGTGGCCCCATAGGGAGATCCACCGAAGACGCTACTCACACCAGCATTACTCACAACTGCATATGGTTGGGTCCTTCGCCAGGCTAATTTTATACCCTGGGCCGATGACGGCAATCATCTAGGGGGGGGGAGGGGGTCGACGACGTCACGTTCCGCGCCGGCGGCGTATGGGAATGCCTAGGAATGACGGAAGACGAGTAGCGCCAGCATGTAGGTGGCGATTTGCACCACAAAGCCTGTGTACACCACAGTGCCTGCGTGCACCACAGTGCCTGTGTTCACCACACCGCCGATGTACACCACAGCAACCGCGTGCAACACAGCGTCAGTTTTGTGCCACCGTGCTTGCGGGCACACCAGCTCTTGTGCACACCACAGCGCTTGCATACACCACATCCGCACCAGTGTGCACCACAATGCCTGC